GTTTTAAAGGGAAGCCATGGGAAGAACAACAGAGGGCATTTGGTGTGTTCMGCTGGAGGAGACTGAGGTGAGACCTAATTGAGCTCTTCAACATCCTCCCAASAGGCAGTGGAGAAACAGCTCTGATCTCTGCTTTCTGTGACCAGTGTCATGACCCGAAGGAATGGCTGGAGCTATGTCATTGGAGGGTTGGGTTGGAAAGGTTCTTCCCCCAGAGGAAGGTCAGGCACTGAACAGGGTTCCCTGGGAATGGTTACGGCCCAAAGGTGGCCAGAATTCCAGGAGCATTTGGACAATGCTCCCAGGCATAGAATGGGATTGTTGGGGTACCCTGTTCAGGGCCAGGAGTTGGACTGGATGATCCTTGTGGGTCCCTTCCCACTCAGGATCCTGATTCAAATATTCTATGACATAAAAACAAGTATTCAAAAATCACTGTTTCAAGTACTGTCTGTGTCAATAAGYATTTATATCACCAAAGAAAATAAACTTGCTACCTAAAAGAACAAAGAGACTTCCACAGACCTGCCCATATATATACAGCATTTCAGCTTGAACTGGAGTTGAAGCTGGCCAGAACAGTGGAGGACAAAAATAATTTTATTTTCTAATGTATCAGTGGCAAGATACCGAGGCCAGGGTTGGATAAACACATCATTCAATAGGTGAGCAACTGACTCACTTGTTGGGCACAAAGGTCTGTAGTTAATGGGGTGACATCATGCTGGCACTGGTCTCTAGTGGGGTTCCACAGGGCTCCATCCTTGGCTTTTCAAGACCTTAATAAAAGACTTGGCCACAGGACTGGAAGGGATGCTAAGCTAGTTTGCAGATGATACAAAACTGGGAAGAGCAGTTGACTCCCTCGAAGTCACGGGGGCTCTGCAGAGACAGCTCAACAAATTAGTGGGCCGGACCATYATCAACCATATGAAGTTCAACCAGAAAAAAGTGCCAGATTCTGCAGCTGGGATGGGGTAACCCTGGGTATACATATAGGATGAAGAATGAGATGCTGGAAAGCAGTGCTGCAACAAGGGACYTTGGTATCCTGGTCTATGGAAATTTGATTATGAGTCAGCACTGCCCTGGCAGCCAGGAAAGACATCTGTGTCCTTGGCATCAGGCACAGCATCACCAGCTGGTCAAGGGAGGGGATWGTCGTGCTGTGCTCTGCACTGGCGTGGCTTCACCTTGAATATTTTGTGCAGTTTTGATCACTGCAATATAAGAAAGGTATTAAGCTATTTGTGAACCTCCAAAGATAATGAAAGGCCTTGAGGGGAAGCCATGTGAGGAGCAGCTGGGGTCACTTGCTGTGTTCAGCTGGAGGAGATTGA